GCACATAAAGACCTCAGGTGAAAGAAGGAAAAAATATTAATACATCCTTTATTGAATTTAATAAAACATTTAATAAAAGGCTATTAAAGAAATGACTAAAATTAGTTAGAAGCTATATAACTCAATCCTCAGGAATATTCGGGTCAAAGAACAAATCAAAGAAAAGATGATTTCATCAAAGAAAATAACAATAAGACTACGTGCCAAAAGGTAAAATGTTACCAAAACAATCCTTAGAAGAAAATGCATTGCTTCCAAACACAACATATCTCCAACAAACTTAAAGAATAATTCAATGAATTAGACCTACAATTAAAAAACAAGAAAGAAAACTAACATTTACAAACACTGAACACCAAATTCTGCACGTCTAAAACAGATTATCAAAATTGAAAGGGAAAAAAAGACAAATAATTAGAGATTGGAGCTTTTTTTAAAACCAAAACTAGAACAATAGCTAAACCATTAGATAATACATTTTTTTTAAAAAAGAGGAAAATATGCCAGGTCATAATAACATAATGGTTTATTTTAATACAAATTAAAATATGATGAGCACTTCTTAGAGAAACAACAAACTAAGCACAATAGAAATAAGAGATTCATGTATCTAGGAAGACTTAGTATGGCCTGCTTCTACATAACATCTACATCTTGCTCTTCTCTTTTTGACATTATCTGTGATTTGTTTGATGTAGAGAGGTGAAAGGGAGTAGCTTTCTCAACTAAAGCAGGTCTGTGCCCTCTCTTTGAGAGCTTAATGGAACACTAAGAGGTTAAATGATTATGCTCAGCATCACAGAATTGTTTATGTAGGAGACAGTATTTGTTCTATCTCAGTTCTGATCCAACTCTCTGCCCATTATGCCAGGCTGCCCTTTATAACTTGTTCCTTTTTTAATCTGTTAACTATGAGTTTATAGTATCCAAATATTGATTACTTCATTGAGTGAATGAAAAAAGCATTTATTAAGCACTTGCTATGTACAAAATACCATTGTGCTAATTTCTCGGGAATAGAGATAGAAAATCAAGACTGTCTCTGAAGGAGCTGAAATTCTGAAATGTAAGAAAACTTACACAGGATGTTTTAGTCTTAAAGTGGATGAAAAGGTCCAGTTTTCCTTAGAGCAGGGATGGAAATGCATATTCCTCAGTGTCATTTCCTTTGATAAAGCCATATCCATTTCTAATGATGAGCCATTGACAATGTTAAGAACATTGGTGAAAAATTTCTGTTCTGGGTCTTAGTTGTTACTGCTAAGGAAAGGAGGGGGGGTGGCACATGCAGAGGCAAGCATGAAGTCCCATGTCGGTAAAGGTATTTCACTGGGTGCTGACAGTGAGCCCAATTTTGAAGCCGGGTCAGTGCTCTAGGCAATTGTACTATTCCTCGAACTTTTAGGTTTACCTGTGTCATTGGTAGACCTTCTGTTTGGCATTCAAGGTCTGTTATAATCTAGCACAGTCTGCCCTCCTTCTCCAACCTCCTTTTTTTTTTTTTACTTTATACCCTTGGTACTCTTCTATACAGTGATACTGACCTTGCTCTTCCACAAAGAAGGTACTCAGTTTCTCAGCTTTCAGGCATTGTTGTTGGATATTCTCCATGCCTAGAATGTTCTCCTTCCTCATCTCTGTCTCCTGACTTCCTTGAATCCTAGCTAAAATCGCAGTTTAAAAAAAATACAGTAAGCATACCCTGTGTCCCTTTAATTCTGTTGCCTTCTCTGTAGATTATTTCCTATACATATGTAGTTTGTACACAATCTTTTGCATTTGTCTTCACTATTGTGAGCTCCTGTAGGGCAAGAACTGTCTTTTACCTTTCTTTGTGTTCCTAGTACTTAGCACAGTGTTTGACATAAGTAGAAGGCACTTAATAACTGTGTATTTACTAACAATTGTCTAAGGAGAGTTTCTATTCCTGGGGCTTTGGGGCACACCAGCCGTTTGGTTTCCATCTTGGTTTTGATAGGAAGTGGTAGTTGAGATTGTGGTATTGATTAATCTGATGGTATCATGCTCCTCTTCTCCCTCCCTCTTTCACAAAGCACCACTCCCAACCCTGTTCCTCTGTCTGGACTCCTTGCTGGTCCAGCCAGTTTAGACTGCCTATTCTACTATGGTAGTATCTGATATTAGTTGCAAAGATGAGATGACTCTTCTCTACCAGTGTTGCCTCCCCTGGGTGATTGCTGTCAGGGCCAGCCTGGAAGACTGAACTGTGGTTTGAACACTTTAGGAGAGAATTTAGAACCAAAACATAATTTAAAGTAATGATTCAAACTCATTGTTCTTGATCAATGAAAGAAATGGTCCTACAAGATTATTCTAAAACTCAGTAGTGAGAATTGGAGGTGGCTGGTATGCATAGGGATAAAGAATAATATACAAATATAGGATGGTATAACTATAGAAAGAATATACATACATACATACATACATACATACATACATACATACATATATATCTATATATCTATATCTATATAGATATAGATATATAGATATAGATATATAGATATCTATATCTATCTTTTATATCATGTCTCACAGTATTTTATCTATTAAGTCACCAGAGTTGTTGAGATGTTTAAAGAAGAATATCAAATGAATCAAAGGATAAAAAATAGCTTTTAAATTAAAGGCATTACATTTTACTGAGAGAAGAAAAGGCAAAGGAAGTGACCTAATTGCTTTAAGTAAATTTGAGAGGTCCCTGAATTAGGTACTACTTAGAACAAACTCTTGACTGAATATTCAGTAAACACTGGAGTGAACTACCAAGATAGGCCAATGAATGCTCTATTTCTTAATAGCATTAAGATGAAATTATCTGTTCAACCTGATAATCAGTAGAATTTTTTTCTTGTTTAACTCCTTGTGGCCTTCTCTTCAAGACAGGCCTATCTATCTCTATATTTTTAACCAGGTATTAATAGGTTTTTTCAGTAAGTTAAATACTTAATGGGCATTGCTGTGATAGAATTCATCTAAGGTGGATTGACATGATCATGGGCATTCATGGTAATAGTCATAAGCTGATACTAGTGTTTTCTGGTTTCTCTTTGAAAGAATTAGTATATTGTATGCGACAAGCAGTATCAATATGATAACATCCTGATTAATGTATTCAGAAAGTTAGCAAACATTTATTGCTTACTATGTGCCAGGTATTGCTACAAAAAGTAAGCTATTTTAAATGTCCTGTGATTTAAAAAATTAAGCTGTCTAGTTGTATGTTTAAAAAACTTGGTCTAGCAATTTGATTCCTCACTTGGGACAAGAAAACTGAGTTGACATATTGTATAGGGAAATGGTCATATTTTTTAACTCTAGAATTTCTTTTTGCTCAACCCTTGAAACTCATCATAACCACATCAAAAAGTCCACAATTTCAGGACATTCCCCAGCATTGGAAGCATTAGACAGAAGCTAACTTGTATGGGATTTATGTGTTAGTGGTAGATGATTGAATTAATGGATCCTCAAGTTCTCCTAGTTTTAAATTTCTGCAGTTCAGTTTCTAAGGAGTGGGATTGGAGGATCAGAGGGCTGTAGTGTATTGTTAGAGGCTATATATGTTTGTCTTTATAATAAACATTAGATTTCAGATACTATCTGGGAACAATTAACATGTGTTTCTGCAAGGGAAGTAACTATTGGTAACCCATGCCTGGTAAAGAAGTGATCTGTAAATATTTCTTTGGAATAATTTTAAAATACTGTATTTGTCCTTTTTCCTGCATTCCATTTGTTGTAGCCAGGAGCTGGTTTGCATACCTTTTTAATGTATATCTTTATTCTGTTCTTACTTAGCTTTATGTTCTATTATGGGGGAGAGGGTATCTGTATATATTGGACACAATTAATAATTCCCTTTAGCTGGCTTCTCTACTCTATTGTGTCTTACATAATTTGTTGCTGTTTAATCATTTTGGTTATGTCTGACTCTTAGTGACCCCATTTATATATTAATTTCCTATTATTTGAAAGACGTTAGATTTATCGATGCATATGTATGCCCATTTGACTATACAGAACAGAGAGGAAAAGGAGCCTGAGCCTCCTAACTTTTTCTCTTAGAATTATTGCAAAACCTTAAGAGAGGCCTACAATAGAGTTAGTACAGAGGCATGAATTTCAGAATGAGAGGATTCCTTGAACCAAATCACCATTGTAGCAGTTGTACCTAGCTCAAAAGGACAGATAGCAAAATGGTGGTATATACCCCTCTGTACTGACATTTTCACAGTATACTGATAGCCTGCCAAGGTTGACTTTGCGGCTAATGAGGCTTAAATCCCTGTGTTGAGAATATGGAAGAGTTCCTTTTTAAATTCATAAGTATGGCTTTTCTTCTGTGTACTCAATATTGTCATCCATCATGTCCTTAAAAAGCTTTGAATAGAAGAAAAATATATAAGCAGATGATTTCCCCCTCCTCATCAGAGCTCAGAACTAAGGGTATTAATTTTCTTATTCTCTTTGTCAATATGCCAAGCACCCATGATTTTGTCACTGTGGAGCTCCTATCTTTGCACATTAAAATGGTTTGTAATTTTCACTTTTTGAAAGTTTTCTTTGTCTCAGGTTAAATGACTTGTCTGGGATCATACAACTAATAAATCTTAGAGGTAGGATTTGAATCGAAGTCTTTGTAACTCCCAAGTCTATCATTCTGTCTAGAACAACTCATTGCCCTTGTAACAATGTATTATTATTACATCTTGCAGTATATGAAATTACTATGTTCAGTTACCCTTCTGCAATTATCTAGGTTGGTCCTTGAACAGCAGACTAGACCTTTCCACTGTGGTAGAACCCGACATAATTTATTCTCACTGTTGTAACTCTTCAAGCCATCACCTCCATGTCAATGGGACAATGAAAAAGGATTTTGCAGAAAGTGAAATAGTGTATGTTTGATATTGTGGAATAGAATTGGTATCAGCTAGGTCACAGATCTACATAAGTATTATTTTCTTTTCTTTTAGGAGGAACAAAACAGAGGCAAACCTAATTGGGAGCACCTAAATGAAGATTTACACGTACTAATCACTGTGGAAGATGCTCAGAATAGAGCAGAAATCAAACTGAAGAGAGCTGTTGAAGAAGTAAAAAATTGTTGGTACCTGCAGTAAGTAATAATTTTTAGATATTTCTTGTAGAATTTTCCCATTTGGTTCCTGAGTTCCTAGTCCACTTAATGTTGGAGAAATGGAATGACATTCTGATTTTATATTAATTCCTCCAGTGTGAATAATTCTCTTTCTTTTGTACAATGCTATTTATAGAGATATTGATTTCTTTGTCAGGGAGGGTGAAGGGGATTTAGGTGTCATTAAGGGTATTTTATCAGATCACACAAGTGTTTGATACACTTTATACCTAAAAAAGTTGGTTTAATTAGCTGTGACTTTCATTGGCTAACCTTTCACTCTTCTCTAAGGGATATCTGAATTTTATTCATTGGGGAGGGCAGGAATGGGCATAATAGATGACAGCTTTTTAGACTACCATATTAACTTATTTCAGACTGCTTAGTAATAGATGAAGGCTATACCAACATTTTATGAAAAAATTAAATATTATGTTTTTAGAACAGTACATTGCTGTAAATGTAACTACAGAAATATAATTGCACACATTTGTATAAAAATTGTCTTCTCACATCTAGCTTGAGTATTGAAGTCAGTGTAAATTGCATGGAAAACTCTTATTTATTGAGACAATTTTTATCAAAATTGTTATTTTGGAGTATCTTACATAAGTCCTTTAAAGTATAACTTCTTGCCATTTGTACAAGTGAATAAGCATCTTTTTTTAAAAAAGGAAGGTTGAGGAATAGTAATTTTGGTATACATCTGAGTCCTTACACTATTCAGTAGATAAATAGTTGTCAGTTCTTGTGTTCATTAAAGAATAAAGACCTTTTTTTAACCCTCATTTAATTAGCCTGGTGACTAATTCGATTCATTGGATTTTTTTTTTGAACCTGGTGATTGATTTGGTTTTTTGTTTTTTGTTTTTATTTTGAGTTCATTGGATGTGCCCTCTACTAAGAATGACAAAGAGCAGTGATAAGGTGTGAGTACCAGGACTGAAATTGCATGATGATAACATTTTTTTTCCAGTGATGGTCTTCCTGAGGCATGGTGGAGAAGTCCAAGAAGTCCAAGAGTAGCACATCTAAGTAGGAAATGTGTAATTGGGGGGCAGAGCCATGAACTCCCAAACCTTCACATAAGGAGGTGTAGTTTGCACTGACCTATCATTTCCTTCCTGATTTTAGTGCTTTGTGACTTCTATGACTTTTCCACCATGATCCCACATTGGGCACTTGCCCTTTCTGTTCCCCCTTCTCCCTGCTTTTTAGCTTCTTTACTATGTTGTCTTCCCTTGTAGAATGTAAGTTCCTTGAGGGCAGGGACTATCTTTTTGCATATTTGTATCCTCATTGCTTAGTACAGTGTCTGGCATATTGTAAGTGCTTAATTGTTTATTAACTATTTGTACACCTGTTTGCTTAGCAGTGTGATAGGCACTTTGAAGATTCAAAGCATTTTGGAGACTTCAGAGACCTGGGTTACAGTTTTGACTCTCAATGTAGCTTATATCAGAAAAGTGTCGATACCAACCACTATAGTTATTAAAATTGCTAATTGAAAAAATATGATTGCACATAGTTAATGTGAACTCAGCAAGTTACAAACGAATTTGTATTTACTATATGACAATTATATCTATATGTCATATTTATTATCTTACTATTGTATATTATTATTAATATTATATCTTGTGTGAAAAATATCTTGGGTGTTAGTGAATATTTCAAACTATAGAATATTCACTTTTGCTTATGTAACTGTCACTACATAAATATACCAGTCTTTACATTAATTCCAAAGCCCACAAATTAGCAACCACTTGGTTAGATCAGGTTGTTGTTCATTTGTTTCCACCTCTTCATGACCCCATTTGGGGTTTTCTTGACAAAGATACTAGGTACTAGACTGGTTTGCCATTACCCTCTCTACCTCTTTTTTTACATGTGAGAAAACTGAGGTATACAGTGTTAAGTGACTTTCCCAGGTTCACACAGCCAATCATTGTTTAAGGCCACATTTGAATTCAGGTCCTCCTGACTCCATGCCCAGTGCTCTATCTATTCTGGCACCTTGTTGCTCTTGGAGCAAATTATTACAATCAAAAATCCCTTTGAGCTCTAATCTTATAATAATATCATGATCCCTGTTCTCTAGCAAATTATGATCTTTTTAATGACACAGGCCAATAAAACAGACTTGAAACCTTTGACTCATCTCTCTTCTACCTTTCCTTTATCTGGTCAGTTTCCAAGTTTTTCTTTAAAATATGCTCCAAAATAGCCATTCCTTTCTTTCCATTCCCTGTGTCATTAATCTGATGATAATCCCTAGATATTTATATTTATAGCAGTTTTTCAGTTTTCTGAAAGACTATATATTTTAACTTACACGTGAAATACCTTCTTTATGTAGGTAACACTGTTAGATGCTGAAGGGAAATTCTGAGTTTAGACGAAGATATCCTGTCTTCTTTGAGTTTACATTCTAGTTTGGGAATATGGCATGCACCAATAATACCTGTAATGCATGATGATATCTGCTTAGGAGTGGTATAATCCTTGTGCTACATGTAATTGGACTAGTCAGCAACCATTTCCAGGTGAAAGTGTCTTAAACAAGATATCAGTAACATGATATGATTGATAAAGTGCTGATCTTGGAGTCAGGAAGACCTGCAGTCAGATCTTTTCATTGGCACTAGCTGTTTGACCCTGAGCAGCAAGTTCCTTAAACTCTTTTGGCCATAATTCCTTATCTGTTCTGGCTCTAAATTTATGATGCTATGATAGCATTTGATTTTGAAGGATAGGTAGGAATTCAGTAGTTATGAGAGGAGGTTTAGTGCCTTCGAGTGATTTAAAGAAGAAGAGAACATGAGAAAAGAACTGTGTCTGTTCAGAAAACAGAATACTCCAGTCTGAGTACTGGAAATGGAGGTGATGAGAAAAGTTCCCAAAAAATATGTCAGATTGAAAAATTCCAGGAAAGCCAAACCAAAAAATTTCAATTTGTCTTGATGGTCATTAGGTAGCTTTTGAAAAGTTTTGCACAAAGAAGGGACACTGGGCTTAAAAGAATACTATTTACTGCCTGTGTCATCACAGGAAAGTTATTATGCCATGCTTGGGCTCCAGTTTTCTCGTCTGTGAAATGAGAGAGGTAGGACTAGGAATCCCTAACATCCCATTTAGCACTAAATCTTTAAATCCTCAAATTAATGTAATTTTAAAATTGTATGAAAGCTAACTCCGTGGGTCCTTTCCAAATTATTTTGTTGGTATTTTGTTTTGATATTATATTGGTATTTGCATAGAGGCAGCTAAGTAGCGCAGTTGATAAAGCATGGTACCTGGAATCAGGAAGACCTGAATTCAAATCTTGCCTCAGACACTTACTAGATATGTGACACTTCACAAGTCACTGAACCTTGTTTACCTCAGTTTCCACATCTGTAAAATGAGCTAGAGAAGGAAATGGGAAACCATTCCAGTATCTTTGCCAAGAATACCCAAATAGTTGTATACAACTGAAATGACTGAACAACAACATCATTGATGTGAGTATTCCCTCACTGCACAATTCCTCACTGTATGAGGAATATAGTTTTTGTCCATATTCTTTTATTGAGCCAACATAGGGAAATTACAGAATAACAACAATTTTGTTTGTAGATTTATTCAACACGTTGCTGTAAATCATCTTCCAGTCTTTAGAACAGGGAAAATGATAATGTAGTTATGATTTACCTATTCTGTCATATATTAACAAGGAATAATGTCCTTTGAATTAAGTATGAAAATTAGAATTGCCACCCACACTTTTTTATTTCCTGTGTTGTCCCTCATTGTGATTTTTGGTAACAAAGTTTTAAAAGTTTGAGTTAGAAATTGTCAGTGAGTTTTTAAAGGTATCGTATCTACTATCACCTGTATCTCTACCTGATGTGGCACTGGTGCGTGCGCGCGCTCCCTCTACCCCCCTACCCCCAATGATACTAATTCCTCATCTTCCTCTTTTCGGCCTTTAAAAAACTGTTAGTGTTAACAGCGAAGATATACTTGCGCTGCTATAAGTGACCGCAAATTGAGCCAGGGTCAGAGGAAGTATATATGTATTTTTTTATGTTACATTATTCAGTACACAAAGTGCTTTGGACTAGTTTAGAGGCTGTCCTCTGTTTTGTTGAAATAATTTTGTCCTACTGAATCTTCTTTGTAATGGTATTTGTTGCAATAGATACTCAAATTTCTAAATGTGAAACTTTGAGGATGTTTGAATTACTTTTGTTATCAAATTTAATTGATAACTGACCATTCTTTAAAACCACCATTTTCCTAGGACAAAAATTCAAAATTAGGGCAGGTAGGTGGCGCAGTAGATAGAGCTGTGGCCTTGAAGTCAGGATGACCTGAGTTCATATTTGGTCTCAGACGCACAACACAACATGTACTAGCTGTGTGACCCCTGGCAAGTCAGTGAACCCCAATTGCCTAGCAAAAAGCAAAAAAAAAATTTAATTACAAGTGTTATTATAGTTGCTACTTTTTGGTTTAAACCAATGATTTATTAATCTATCAATACTAGCACTGCTTTTATGAGACAATTCACCACATCCTTCAACTTCCTAATTAACAAAAATTGAAAATTAATCAGAAGAGATCATATTACATTTAGGTGAGGTACTAATTAGAAACATAAGTAAATTAACATGGAGATTTTACCCAAAAGGTAATGAATAGTTACATATGGCTATATGAAGAACTTGTAACATCTTACCAACCAAGGATTGTACCACAGAATCAGAATAAAGAACATTCTGAGAGAGATGTATAATCAGCATAAAAGGTTGTCTAAAATAGTGGGTGACCCCAGGTGCTACATTTGTATTCAGTCAATGTCAAAACAGCTAGAAGATCCCTGAGCATGTTAGTTGGGGCCACCTTTGCAGAATTTGTGAAAGGAAATGGATTATACAGGATGAAAAGGTGTGGATGGGATATGATCCATATTTTTGGG